TCCCCCCACCAGCCGCTTAAGAAGGCCATGCGAAACCCCTTGGAGGACTTTGTGCGCCTTATAGCCCAGCACCACCCCTCGCACAGGTCGCCCCCTGCCTTCCCTCCCCTTTCACGTCTCTAATGCCTTCGAGTCGACTCAATTGTGAGTTTGTGCGCCCTATAGCCCAGCACCACCCCTCACACAGGTCGCTCCCTCCCTCACCTCCTCTTTCACATTTCTGATGCCTTCAAGTCAACTCAGAAATAAGTTTGTGCGCCTTATAGCCCAGCATCACACCTCGCAGAGGTCACTCCCTGACTCCCCTCCTCATTCACCTCTCTATTGCCATCGTAACGGGTGGCTTTTGAGTCGAATCAAAGCGAGTGTGCGCCTTATAGCCCAGCACCACTCATCCCACGTCGCTCATTCTCTCTCCTCCTCGTTCACCCTGTTTTCCCTGCCTGATACACAAACAGAAGTTATTTTCCCCATCTACCATTCAGCTCTGCATGCCACCTTCGTGTATCCCTTGCCTTTTGGTGGTGATTGTTGATTAATGCTGCAGTTGACTGCACTTGACTGTGCTTGACTGGGTCTGACTGGAGTTGACTCCGCTTGAATGTAGATGGCTTGACTATAGTGGAGTGGATGAATTATGAACGAACACTCGTCTCTCTGAGCCTTCGACCAATCGACGTGTTCATCCCATTCCCTCACCTAACCCCTCTGCACTGCACTTGGCTTTACCCCCCACCCGTCCTTCCCCCTTTCCCCGCAGGTGTCGCAACGGGGCGTCTGTCCTGCTGCGCCTGCTGCCCCTGGCATGGCCGCTGTCGGCAATAGGCGAGGAGGAGGAGGGCAAGGGGCATGGGTCGCGCAAGGACCTGGGGGTGCTGCGGATCAACAAGACTGCGCTGGCGGGGGCTAAGATCTGCGGTGCTGACCTGCCGTCTGGCTCCTGGGTAGGTGGTGCATGCGGCAGCGTGCGTGAGTCTATGGACATTTAAGGACCTGAGGAGGCGAGGGGGGTGAGGGCGGGAGAATGAGGAGGGGTGGCTATAGCAGAGTAGGTAGGACCAGTAAAAAATGCCCTGGAGGGGAGAAACGGAGCGAAGGGTTGGGAGGTCAAGTGGGAGGGCGGGGAAGCGGGGGAAATGAGCGAGAGAGAATGGGAGGGGAAGGCATGGCACTGGATGATGGGTGGGCGCAGGTAATTCCTGTGTATATGCGCTTTCCAAAGTGCCTCTCTCATCGCTCTGGTCCCTCTTTCCTTCTTCTCTTCCTTTCTCCCCTTGCCTTCCTTTCCCCCCTCCCCCCTGCCCATCCCTTCGTCCCTCTCTCATCCTTCCGTGAACACCCTGCACGGTGATGCTGGTCTCATCACGTGATCAGGGAGACTTTTGAGTCTGCTCAAAAGTCATCCATCCCTTCGCCCCTCTCTTGTCCTTCCATGAACACCCTGCACGGTGATGATTGTCTCATCGTGTGATCATCCAATTCATTGTCTGTGGACTGGCAGGATCAATGCAGCAGCAAGATCAAAGATCGCAGGGGCTATAGGTGTGTTTCCCCACGCTCACAAGCCCGTCAGCCACTCCCCTACCCTTCTTACCTCCTCTTCCCTCCTCCTCCTTCCTGTCCTACCTTCCTGCTCCATTTCCCTCAACACGCACACCCACACACCCACACACTCACACACCCACACACCCACACACCCACACACCCTCACACTCACACACACCCACACATTCGCACACACCCACACACACACACACCCACACACCCACACACTCACACACCCACACACTCACACACACCCACACACACACACACCCACACACCCACACACCCACACACCCACACTCACACACCCACACACCCACACACTCACACACCTACACACCCACACACTCACACACCCACACACTCACACACCCACTCACTCACACACCCCACACACCCACACACTCACACACCCGCACGCCATGCATTGACTGCTCTGTGTCTCTCCTTTTATCGCCCTTGCGTCTGTGTAGCCACAGCCTTTTGCTTGCAAATCACAGCCTTTCACAGCCGATGCAGACCACATCCATTCTCGTCCGTACCCTCCCACATCTCCTTCTTTAACCCCGCCATATCCCTTTTTACCCACCCCAACCCCCACTCCCATGATCTCCCGATCCACCCTTTCCCATTCGCCTCCCAGTGCCTGCTTCCCTGTTTCCCCCATCCTTAGCCTCCCTTTCCCCCTTACCACTCCGCTTCCCATCCCAACCCCCCTCCCTGAACCATCCCGTCTGTGTGTGCGTCTGCGTCTGTGTGTGTGTGTGTGGTGGGTGTCACAGCTGTGGGCTGTGGCTGCTGTTCCACGCGCTGTCAGTGCGGGTGGGGCCGGAGCAGGGCGGGTGGTGTGTGAACGCCATGAGGGACTTTGTGACTGTCTTCTTTGGCTGCAGCAAGTGCCGCGACCACTTCTTGCAGATGGCCCAGCAGTGAGTGCGAGGCGAGCAGTGAATGGGGGGCGAACAGTGTCTGGGGGGCGAGAAATGAGTGGGTGTGCTGTTATAGGGATGGGGATCAGAGTGAGAACAAGTGCCGCGATCACTTCCGGCAGATGGCCCAGCAGTGAGTGGAGGGCGCGCATTGAGTGCCATGTTCATTTATTAGTCAGGGTTCTGAAGGATAGGTAGGAGGTACGGTATTCTCGAAATTACAGAGGGGTGCAAAGCTTAGAACCAGGGATGGGTAGGTGATCCTTCACCCCTGTGTGCCACTCCCATCACTCCCTTCCTCACCTCCCTTTACACCCTCCTACCCCACACCACACTCCCTCCTCACTTCCCGCATGCCACCGCATTCCACCCCACGCCTCCTCCTCCTCCGCACCATGTTCCCCCCAGGCTACACATGGACAAGGTGAAGACAGGCAAGGACGCTGCTCTCTGGGTGTGGCGCGCACACAACGTGGTATGCTAGGCTGGACGCTCTTGTAGTTTTCTCAGCGACACAGTATGCCTGTGCGTAGAGTCACACCTGTCACACATCTTCTTTCACACCATTATGGCATTCCGTTTGGGTTATTTCTATTGAAGTCTAGTAAATCTCTTGCCAAGCCTGCTCTCCTCTCTTAGCCTGCTCCCCTTACCAAACCTCATCCCCTCGCCAAACTTGCTCACCCCTCTATTTCTCTCTCCCATTCCCTCTGTCCCTCTGCCCCTCTGGCCCCGCTCCCTCTTCCTCACCTCCTCTCCCTCTCGTCCCGTCCTCACCACCCACTCACCCACGCGCAGGTGAACCAGAGGCTGGAGAGGGAAGAAGCCGAGTCAGGCGGCAAGAGGGGAGACCCAGCACACCCCAAGCGCCAGTGGCCTACTCTCTCCCTCTGCCCACTCTGCGCTGCTGACGACGCCATGGCAACAGCAGACTCTGAGACGGGTGCTGTTGACCCTGACGCCTCATGGGACCTTGAATACGTACACTCGTTTCTGTATAATTTCTACAACGAGCCGGAAGGGAGCGGGAGGAGTGACGCAGGAGGGGACACGGAGGGGGGTGGCAGGGGTGGAGGAGGGAAGGCGGAGATGGTGGAGCGGAGAGGGGGAGGGGGGATGATGATGTGCGGGCTGGTGCTGCTGCTGCTGGTGTGCTTCTGGGGGTGTGCCACGGCCCGACGGTCCCTGCTGCGCTCTCATCCCTCTCGCCGTCGCAAGTACCCCACTACCCTAGATGCTCTGCTCTGCTGCCGGCAGTGTGCTATCGCGTCCTTTTTGTACTTTCTTTGCTTCGTGCTTTTTGGTTTGTCCTTCATTTGCTTTTCCCAATCTCATGCCCCAATTTGTGCTCACTCTGTCTCGTACTCGTCTCTCTAACTTGCTCACTCCACACCACACATGTTAGAGCGTATTCCCATCCTCCTATCAAGCGAACCTCATATCGAGCTCACACTGAAAAATCCCCTAAACCCGAAACCTCTCGCTCCTTTTACCAGGCAAAAAGTACAACCTTGATAGGAGGTGGCCTTGATAGGAGGCCGTAGGAATACGCCCTTAGGCTTCTAAAGAGGAACAACTTTCCTCACTGTCCTCATTCCCTCACCTTCCATGACATACCACATCATCACTGCATTTCCTTGTTCCCATCCTCCCCACCCGACTCTCCTTGGATATCTTGGACTGGTGGTGATGGTCGTGCAGGCTGAGAAGCAAGCAGAAGTGGGGAGGGTCTTCTTACGGCTCGCATCAAGTCTGATCTCGCCTTTCAAACCTGCTCTCTCCAGTGCCTGTTGCATTGCATGCTTCCAGCTGCCTGCTGCCTGCTGACTGCTGTGTAGTGGACCGCAATGACTATTCCCTGCTGCTTGGGTTAGCCTAGCCATAAGTGGCATGTGCTTAGGCGATCTAGGTACTACCATATGCCAGTGGGGCTAATCAACTGACATGCGGACCATTAACACGACTACCCTATACCGGTACATGTGATATGCTGGTGGAGCAAGCTGGACATTGGATTCCTTGCTTGTTGAAAACTTGAGCCCCAGTGATTGAGTTGTTACTCCTCAAGCCACGATTCCTCTCCTCACCCTAATGGCACCCAGGAAATCTGAAATATAATGAGCTGATGTGGAAGCATCATTACAGTGTCCACAGGTACAGGTTCTGTTCTGTGCTTGGACAGTTCAGCTACAAACCTACAGCAGCCTTCACCCAATGCTTCCTACAACTCTTGTGCCTGTACCCTCATGGTACGAAACACCACTCCCCTCCATCCAAATGTCCCAATGCAGCCAGGGCTAACAACAGAGTGTTTGATTGAGCTGCTTCCATCAAAGTTCCTACAACCAACAGCAACAACAAGATTCCCAGCCAACCTCCAAGGTCCACCTCTCACTCACACCAGTTACCTTAAGAGCTGCTACATTTAGCAGCAGCCCTCGGGCACTTCAGCTAAGCCTACCAGTAATCACATAGTCCACCAGTCAACCAACCAACCAGTCAACATAATCCCCCTGGTTCCCCAGCTTAAAAATCACCAGCATCCTCATCCACATACACTGTCTCTTGCGTCAGCAGGCCCCCGAGCACCTTACGCTTCTCCACAGGCTTGGGAGCGGCAGGCGCAGCAGCAGCAGCGGGCTTGGATTGCCTCTGTCGCAGCGGCCGCCTCTGCTTCGGCGCATCAGCAGGAGCAGCAGCTACAGCCTTCTCTGTCCCTCCTGTGGCCTTGGCAGCAGCAGCAGAAGCAGCGGCGGTGAAAGAGCTAGCAGCAGCCCCTAGATCCGGAGTGGGGATTTTCTTGGCAATGTCACCAAAGGAAGGGAGGGACGGGGCGGAGAACGCAGCAGCAGGGGCGGCAGCAGCAGCAGCGGGTTTGGCGGAGGGGGGAGGGACGGAGGCGCCAGCTTCTTTGAGGTTGCTTTCAATGCTGGAGACAGCAGAGGAAGCGGCTTGCGCACGCGCTGCTGCCTTGGCTGCTGCTGCTGCCGCACGCGCCTCTTCGGCTGAAGGAATGCAAGGCAAGCACGAGAGGGAAAAGTATGAGTGAAAGGGAGAATGAAACGGAAAGCATGGGACGAACAGGGTGGGATGTGCCACAGATCAGCAGAAGATGACATGAGCACAAACCCAAGTACACCATGATATCAGCTGCGCTTGAAATAGAGCACCTGATATCCAATACTTACAAACACTCCCTATTCTAGCAGCTCTAACTCCCTCTCTGTTTCCCCATCCCATGTCCGCGCCCTCATTAGCATCACTCGCTCTCTCACTAGCTACCAACCCACATCTGCTCCCTCATTGTTCCCCCATCTTCCTAATCCCACCCACGAGCACCCCACGCACCAGCCAGGGCCTTGGCCTGAGCCTCAAGAGCAGCAGCGCTCTCAGCGGCGCGCCTGGCCTCCTCTGCTGCCGCTTCCGCCTCTGCCGAAGCCAGCAGGCGAAGCTGCTTCTCCTGCTCCGCCGCTGCTGCCCTCTCTGCTGCCTCCTTCTTCACGGCCCGGCGCGAATCCTCAGGGACCTCACTGGAAGGAGGGAGGAAAGGAGGGAGGGGCGGGGGAAAATGCTACTGAGTGGGATCAGCTCTTCATTCTTCTTGGCCTGGCGCGGCCTCACTGGAAGGAAGGAGGTAGGTCCGGGGATAAGCCAAGAGAGTGAGGGAAAGAGAGTGAGCAACGATTTGGCCCGGATTGGTGTTCAACGTGGCGCATTTGTTCGTAAAGAGGACAGCGTCAGAGAGGAAGTGGGTGTAAGCGTGCATGTGTGCGCGGTTGGGGGTGGGAGAGTGTGTGCGTGCATGCATGTGTGTGCGTGTGTGCGTGTGTGCATGTGTGTGCTGTGTGTGTGGGTACCAAGGGTGCAAGCGAGGGGTGGAGTGCGATGGAGGAGGAGAGAAGAGAGGCTTGTGCTTGTGCCACATCATCATTGCATGCACGGATGGGTGTATCATGTATGGCACAGAATGTAAGGTTGCACATGCACATGCGAGCGCCAGCCTGCCACCCTCCATGCGTCCTCGGAAGAGAGCCCAGGGAGAAGCAAAAAGAGCACAAGAGGGAGCACAAGAGAGAGCACAAGAGAGAGCACGAGAGGGAGCACGAGAGAGCACAAGAGAGAGCACAAGAGGGAGTGCAAGCGGGAGCGCAAGGAAACAAGGAGTGCAAGGGCGACGGACTCACGCGAGCAGCTCTGCAATATCACCAGCTTCAGCACCGGCATCTGCTACCAGGTCCACCACCTGTAGAGGGATAGAGCCAACAGAGGAAGAGGGAGAGACAACACAAGACACGGATTGCGGGGAAACATGTCAGTGATGTTGTGTACAAAACGTCATGTGGCCGCCGCATTGAGTTTCCACGGTAGCCCTTAGGACTGGAAGAGCAACCGAGAGAATAATGCTGGATGAGTGAAACACTACCATTTCCTCCCTCAGTTTTGTGATTCTTCCCCACTCCGGTTGCCAACAGCACACTCCCTAGGCAGTAAACTTCCCACCACACCCCACCCTCCCCCTCCCCTCTCCCTCTCTCTCCCTTTATCCTTCCATCCCTCCCTCCCTTTTCCCCTCAGCCTCACCTTGTTGGCGGCGAGTCCAGGGTTGGCGGCAATGGCTGCGATGACCTGCGCCACCTGCACGCGGGCAAGCTGCATTCGGGGGAAAAAAAGAGGGGAAAAGCGGGAGAGGGTGATGCATCGAGGAAGATGCGCAATATTTACTCCACGCCAAAGCCATCCGCACTGCATCTCATAATCGCTAAACCCCGCTTCATCCCCGTGGAATCACCCACTCCCACGCCCAAACCCCCAAGACTCGCTTCTTAGATTTCTCCTTCCAGAACAAGCGCTCCTCAGGAGCCCTCAATCGACGCACGCACTTGCCGATCCTGCAACGAAGATTGTTATTTCAGCGCCTACAAACATAGTGCCTAAAACAGAATATGACATGCAGCCCACGTTCTCCCCCAACACAGCACAAAACTCACCGATCCTGCGGCGATGCTGCCCTCCTCCCCGACCACCAGGTTCGTCCTGTACGCGCTAGAGTCCGCCTCGAATTTCCCCACGCGCAGCACGGTGTAGTCAAGCGCGTCAGCCTCCACAAGCTCCGTCAACACACTGCTGTACGATGCCGTATCGCCTTTCTTCCCCGCCAGCGACCGGAAGAAATTCAGGATTGCCGCGATCAGCCCGCCGCCGCTGCCACCGCCGCCGCTCTTGCTCTTTACCGCGACGCCGGCGGGCGCGGCGGCGAAGTCGGAGACGAGGACGAACGCCGGCGCGTTCGCGAGGATCGCGGCGCGCGCCAGGGAGAGCGCCTCGTCGACCTCGAGATTGCCGCTGGGGCCGTTTTCGCCGGCGCCGAGCGTGACTACAACGGTGCCCGCGTTAGCGATGGACTTGGCGGTGAACTCCGAGTCGCTGGCGGAATACTCGACGAAGTTAAGGCGCTTCGCCTCCTCGCCCGTGATCACCTGCCGCCGCCATGGATGGAGGGGCCAAAGTGGGGAGAGATGTATAGAGAGTGAGAATGAAGAGGATAAAGAATATTGATGCATCCGGAACATAGACTCGACGAGATTTAGGTGGTGGTGTTTCCGCCGTGATTACTTGAGGCGATGACGCGAGGGGGATAGTGGGGGAGGGAGGGGCAGAAACGAGTGATTGGAAGAAAATATGCATAATTGGGAAGAGGCATATCGTGGAAGAAGCTCGAGAGACTATGCTTCATGTGACGGGTTTGTAGCTCCGTGGATTTGAGGCAAATGTCAGTGCTTGAACACGAAGCATGACATTGCTCTTTGTTTTCATGGAACCACGAGATTCGTGCATACTCATCTATCCCCACACATTTTGATCCTGTTCGAACGGTAACCCAAAGCAATAAGCCCTATCACGCCCAATCCCGCCGCACTCCACCGGATCGCACCGCATTACCTTGTACTTGGCGGCGAGCTCCGCGAGTTGCTGTGCGTCGCTGAGGTCCTCCACGCCCGCGCGCACGCTCAGGCCCGCCGACAGCAGCTCCACCACCACGCGCGCGCCCGTCAGCCCCGTCGCGCCCGCCACGAACACCGTCTTGCGGTCCGCGGGCCGCCCGCGAATCAGCGCGGCGAACGGAAGCTTCACGAGCCCGAACAGCCCCTGAGGCGCCGCGGGGATTTCCTCGGGGACTGCGAACTTGCGCGTCTGTTGCGGCGCGGCATCCTCTTCCTCGTCGTCTTCTTGCACCGCGGGTCTGGGGGAGAAGAAGTTCCTAAAGACCTGCGTTCCATTGTCAACCTCCTCCTCCTCTTCCTCCTCCTGGGCACGTTTCTTGAAGAATTGCGTGCCGAAGACGGCCCGTTGGCTCCCTCCGTCTTTCGCGCGCACGGCGACGACGCGGCTGCCTCTGGGAGTGGCGGTAAAAGAGGTGCTGGTGGCGATTTGCGGGGAAAACAGCAGCTGCTGCTGCTGCTGGCCCAGTGACAACGACTGCGGCCTGAGGCCGCTGCTGGACAGCATTTGAGCGACTGCGACGGACCCCGCTGCTGCAAGAGCCATGGCTGACGAGCGGCTGGTCGAGAACTGGCTAGGGATCACTGACTCTTGAGGATCGCCGCTGGTCAGCGAGAGTTACAATGGCCCGTGTGAAAGTGGCCTGTTAGGTGGTGATGGTGTGATTGATGTGGGGTGGGTAAACTATGGCTGGAAGGGCACCCGAGGGTCTGGGGAGGTAGCGTGGTAGTGTGTACTCTGGAGACGTGTGATCGGATGCGGTCAAAGTTGCGTTTCCGTGGCTTTCCTAGTGATTCTGTGCGGTGAGGTGTGGTTCATGAGTTATTTTTAGAAGGTAATTCGGTCGGGTTGGGATAATGCACCGCACAACGGCACCGGAGATGTCAAGATTCTCTGGAAGGGTGGGATTGTGGGAAATCGAGGGCTCAAATGACTGACACGAGCAATCAAACGCTCACGCCGGGCCGACACGGTAGCACTGAGACATCGCTGGGCCATTAGAGACACGCGGGAAACGAGATGATTCAGCAGTTGAACGGTTCCGATTCGCTCGACTCAACGATGATGGATTTGCGTACGAAGCGCCTCACGGGAAGTAGCTGATTGTACTGGGATAGCAACTCGAGTGCCACGTGAGCGATTGGCGATGTCCAGCAAAGCACATCGGATCCAATTATCCACTAGGCTTTGCTCCATACCGGGTCTGGCTATGTGAGGTGCCACGTGGAGGTAAAACACTTTCCGGTTAACGAAGCTGTCACAGCACACATACAGTAGTTGTATGAACCTGAAGGTGCCTTATACGGTAAACTGCTGGACATTTCTAGCTTAGCTGCTAGCTAAGAGACACTTTGCACCAAATATTTACATTACTGTGCTGTCACTTATGTTTTGAATGAATTTTGAAACTAAACCCGTAATGAAATATCCACATGCTGCGTAGGCTAAGAAAATACAAAGAATTGACATGGAAAATAAATATAGATAAAATACTGGCATCAATATACGATTGTTTGAACATTAAGGTGATATTGAACGAAATTTACAGCATATAATGGTTCTGTCTTAGAAATAGTCCGACTATGTAAACCACATGTTCTTCTTTTCTGTTTATTACGGCCCGCACACAAGCTGCTGTATTATTTTTCAAGTTAGCACACGTAATGCTCTTTCCATACATATCGAGTCTTTCTGCAACCGGTACTCTGCAACCTGTCACCCTCGCTCCCGCCAAACTGTGGGGCTTTGGCAAATCAGGGACTCAAGTGCGGAAAACTGGCACATAGCGCTTCGGCCAGCTCCTGCTGCACCCAAGCCAAACACCCCCTTCTGAACGCCCAGCGGTGATCAACCTACACATACCTGCAATCTTGGACTGTGCGGAAATGAACTAAAACAATCCCATTCTTCCCCCTTGCCATTCATGCACGAGTATCGCTTCATCATACTGTCCTCTTCTGCCTCACCAGACCCTCAACCTGTCTTGGTCCTACCTTAGTTTATAGATTTGCTTTTAGCAGAGGCTATTTTGGTTGTGACATCACTACAGAGAAACTCCTGCTGGCGAGTTCGCAATGGCTCTGTCGCATGATGATAATATAGCTGACCTGATGCCAAATTATTTCAATCGTGAAGACGGAATGGACGTTGAGGAATCGATTGACACGAGAGCTCTTGAAGATTATAGAGAAGTACGGTTCTTAAATCTCCTTACCTATTTCATATATCCTTTCCATCAATCCTTTTTTTTTTCAGTGCGCTGAATTCAAGTGACGTTTATTGTCCTGCAGGCTCTGGATAGCGACGCTACGATGCGTTCCCGAGACGTATGCTCGCTGAACCAGCATGAGCTTGGTCTTTTAAACAGAAAGTCGCTTAGGATGGGTACGGGAACCTCGCAAGGCCAAAAGAGACCGACTCGGAAATTCGACCTTACATTGTACGTGCACGAAAAAGTACATACCATCATGATTAGAGTTTCATAAACTCACATGCCTACCTCTTTCCATGCAGGAAACCGTTGCCGTATGAAGAAGTGGCCAATCGGATGATGGGTGAGAAGCTTTTTTTGGTCAGAACGCACAGTCCTTGACATTAATTTGCGATGGTATCTTGTAACCGCTGTGAAACGCTACCCTGCAGGTTCTCACGTCGTTTCAGAAAAGCAGCGCTCAAAGATGAAGAGGCACGGAACAGGAAGGTGCGTTCAGAGATTATTTCGTTGACATATTCAATCACGTTTTTCTTATCTTTTGTAACGCTAATAAAAATATGTCCTGGTTCAGGGTGAAAAAGCGAAGACCATTTGGTTTAAGAACACCCAATTTTGCCGACGATGAGGAATTTGAAGAAGAGGATGAGGAGATTCACGCTGTTTTTGCAAAGAAGGATCAGCCGTCCAGGTTGGGGGAAGATCAAATGCGTCTTGAGGACATGTTGCAGAAAAAAGTCGACGTCCGGGCAGGATCGATGGTTTGGAATTCATTGGTTTTAAACCCAAGTGGACATACGGGAAATTCTTGTAAACTTGCGGAAGCCACCGAGCTCGATTCAGAGGCGCCTGGAAGTGCACCTGGAAGTGTTACTGATTTGAACGGTTCTGGAGTCAAGAACCTGCATACCGCTTTTGAAGAGAACGGGATTGGACGTGTGGAAGTCAGCGAGTCACCAGTTACAGACGCTACACAAGAGGTCGTGCGTGATGAAGCTGAAGGTCAGGCTAATGCGGAGGAGGAAGATCATGGTGCTGAAGTTGATGAGCCGATGACTGGCTCACTTCAGCCTACGGAAGTTGACTCTGGAACCAGTGAAACGATGGAAGGCATGATGGCCGATGTCTCCGGAGCTGAACAGGATGCTGATCCAGGCGATGAGGATGACGCGTGCAACGTTGTGGAGATCATGTGTTCAGAACAGACCAGTAAGAAGCCAGGCGCTTCCCCTCTTCCTGCTGTTGTGGAAGATGAACCCACGGATTCGGTATCCTACACGGTCCCAACCACTCCAGTTGCCCAGCAAGCACCGACTGTTGCACGTAAATCCGCACTTAAGTCTGGGCGCAAATCGGCCGGCAAGTCTGTGAGGATTGCTGGTGCGTCTGGTTCACCGGAAGCGTTTGCTGTGCTGCCGTTAACCCCAGAGGTGAGCAACTGTCTGGCTTTGTGTCACCTTCAGCGTTCGTTCAGTCAACTAATGCTTTGCCAATCATGCCTGCAGGCTGGTACCTATCTGAAGAGGACGAAGTCGTCAAAGGTGCGCATGCAGTTCCCCCGCTGCTCTGAGTTAATTCCTGAACAACAAATATTAAGAGTACCATCCCTTGTGTCTCTCAGGTTCAGAAGGAGAAGTCAAGGAATTTGCGCAATCGCAGAAGCAGCTTGGCAGGTGAATGGTTGGACTCTTCAGTTGCTTACCTTGACATGTTTCACCTCCAAGATTTGTTTTAATGCCTCATCCGCTTCCTTGGCTTTTGTGCAACAGGTGGTGGACTGGTTTGGGATGGCAACATAAAAAAGAGCACGCGATCGCGCATGAAGCCTTTGGAGTGGTGGCGCATGGAGGGGGTTAGCTATGGCCGACCTCACCAGAGTACGTTCTTTTCCCGATGGTTTCACACTTTCTGAGCAGTAGCGGAAATTGTTATGTAACGCTCACTTGATGTCATGTGTTGATCATGGGTGTTTTCCAGGTTTGCCAACTCCAGTGGAAGTGCAAGTTTGTTCACCGGAACCTTACTGGCCTGCAGTGCCACCAGGAGGTTTGAAGAAGAGGGTTGGACTTCGTAAGATGGTGATACCAAGTCTCTGTGACTCAACTGATGCAAACATTCTGGCCATTGAGTGAGTGAGCAGCCCGTGTTACACGTCCAGCCCACCTTCTGCCAGTCGCTGCTATGCAATGTACAGTGGTGATGTGGGTGCAAAAGCAGTCCAGGACGAGCCATCCTGCTCCGGTTGCCGCAGCTGACTGTTCGAACTCTTGTGTTAACACTAATTGTCCAGCACTAGATCCACCGCAGTAGATCCAGCATACGTATGCAACTCACCGACCATGACTTCAGATTAGTGCCTCAGGTCCAGCAATTCACAACGAGTACTGACCAATTGTGCTCACCCAGAAAGAAAACGGCACCATATTGGCAAGGTGGATGCTACAGGATCATGAGAATGAACATACCAACAATCCGATAAAGCATGAGAAAAGCAGAAGACTTTTTAAATCCCACTCCAAGACTGTCCCATAACAGTTGTCTGCACTGGCAACTCTGGATCGCATCTGTCATACTGAAAAGCTGCCATGGGCCTTCTAGCATAAAACACCGCAGTGTGCGAATACCCAGACTCCGACACAACGTATGCATCGCAAGATGCCAACAATAACCATTCTGTAACGACCTCCTGGAACAGCCGAGCCTCTTCCTGCTTGTCCTTCTCAATAGTGGTGCTGGTGGCATTGGTGGCCGCAGCAGTAATGTTGGCGTCAGTGTATTCTGCATCTGGGGCTACCATCCCAGCTGGGCGACGTGAGGCTTCAGTGTCAACAGCGCCCAGGTTGTTGGAATGGCGAGGCACAAAATCAGTGGTGAAGACCTGGTTAGGGAGGATGCAACGGGAATAATCAGGGTACATTCCGCTGTGGACACATGTCCCAATCGATGTGTCCCAATCGTTTCTACCGCACTGCATCGTATTACACCAAATTGCACCCTAGTTTCGAAATTTTCGCGTCTCTGGTTTAGTTCGGTTCGGAGCGGTACACTCGATTGGGACACATCGATTGGGACATGTGTCCACAGCGGAATGTACCCTCAGTAGCAGCAAGGACAGGAAGGCCACAACTACATGGCATCAGAAGGGACTCTGCCCACACAAACGCAGTGAGATGCTATGCGATGGAAGTGACTGCACAATCCTAATAGTTTGTGGGAATGGGCAGAGGAGTGAGCTTATGGTTCTGCTTACTATCAAGGATTCAGGGTACTGTGACGAAATGACCTCCTTGAGATTGGGTGGGTGGGAAGGCACCTTATTGGGGTATTGTGACTTAACTCAAAGAAGGCACTGCAGGCAGAGAGGGTGGGTGGGCGCACCTTATCGGGGTACTGTGACTTTATCGCTTGCTTGAGCTGGGCTGAGTTGGTGATGAGCATCCAGCGCACTCCCAGAGACGATGGGAACCAGTACCCCTCCACCTTCTGTGACACAGGACACGCGGACAGGGGAGAGTGGGCAGGGGGGAAAGGGCAGGGGAAACGGGCAGGGGGGAAAGGGCAGGGGACAAGGGCAGGGGGGGTTGATGAGATGGATTGTGAAGCAGCTCCATCACAAAGCAGTACCCCCCCCACCCCAGCCCCATACCACGTACCCTCTGTGATACGGGACGTGCGGGCGGGGGAGAGGGGGTATAGGGTAGAGTGTGCGAGGTAGAGGGTACGTGGTATGGGGTGGGGTGGGGGTAATGATACAATCAATCATCGAGGTGCCTCATGACCAGCGGTACTGAACCCCTCCGCCCTCTGAGACACAGGACAGGCGTGGAGGGAGGGGAGAGGGGGCATGCAAGAGGGGGGAGGGTGTGGAGGGTAGGGTGTGGGAGGTAGGGGTGGTGCGTATGGTGTGGGGGTGACGAGACGGATTGCAGTGTGGCCTTCCGATAGGGAGAGCGGGTGAGGGGTGTTCGGACGCCTGGGAAGGGGACAACGGGGAGGGGATGGGAATGGGGAATGGGGACTGGAATGGGGATGGAAATGGGGATGTCAATGGGGATGGAAAAGGGGATGTGAATGGGGATGTGAATGGGGATGTGAATGGGGATGGGAATGGGGACGGGAACGGGGAAGTGAATGGGGATGGGAATGGGGATGGGAATGGGGATGTGAATTGGGATGAGAATGGGGATGGGAATGGGGATGGGAATGGGGATGTGAATCGGGATGTGAATGGGGATGGGAATGGGGATGTGAACGGGGATGGGAATGGGGATGTGAATGGGGATGGGAATGGGGATGGGAATGGGGATGGGAATGGGGATGGGAATGGGGATGTGAATGGGGATGGGAATGGGGATGGGAATGGGGATGGGAATGGGGATGGGAATGGGGATGTGAGTGGGGATGTGAATGGGGATGTGAATGGGGATGTGAATGGGGATGGGAATGGGGATGGGAACGGGGATGTGAATGGGGATGGGAATGGGGATGGGAATGGGGATGTGAATTGGGATGAGAATGGGGATGGGAATGGGGATGGGAACAGGGATGTGAATGGGGATGGGAATGGGGATGGGAATGGGGATGTGAATGGGGATGTGAATGGGGATGGGAATGGGGATGTGAACGGGGATGGGAACGGGGATGGGAATGGGGATGGGAATGGGGATGGGAATGGGGATGGGAATGGGGATGGGAATGGGGATGGGAATGGGGATGGGAACAGGGATGGGAATGGGGATGGGAATGGGGATGGGAATGGGGATGGGAATGGGGATGTGAATGGGGATGCGAATGGGGATGTGAATGGGGATGTGAAAGGGGATGAGAATGGGGATGAGAATGGGGATGAGAATGGGGATGGGAATGGGGATGGGAATGGGGATGGGAATGGGGATGGGGATGGGAATGGGGATGGGAATGGGGATGTGAATGGGGATGTGAATGGGGATGGGAATGGGGATGGGAATGGGGATGAGAATGGGGATGTGAATGGAGATGTGAATGGGGATGTGAATGGGGATGTGAATGAGGATGAGAATGGGGATGAGAATGGGGATGAGAATGGGGATGGGAATGGGGATGGGAATGGGGATGGGAATGGGGATGGGAATGGGGATGGGAATGGGGATGGGAATGGGGATGAGAATGGGGATGGGAATGGGGATGCGAATGGGGATGGGATGGGGATGGGAATGGGGATGGGAATGGGGATGAGAATGGGGATGGGAATGGGGATGAGAATGGGGATGAGAATGGGGATGGGAATGGGGATGGGAATGGGGATGGGAATGGGGATGGGAATGGGATGGGAATGGGAATGGGGATGGGAATGGGGATGGGAATGGGGATGAGAATGGGGATGGGAATGGGGATGGGAATGGGGATGGGAATGGGGATGGGAATGGGGATGGGAATGGGGATGGGAATGGGGATGGGAATGGGGATGAGTATGGGGATGGGAATGGGGATGGGAATGGGGATGGGAATGGGGATGGGAATGGGGATGGGAATGGGGATGGGAATGGGGATGGGAATGGGGATGAGAATGGGGATGAGAATGGGGATGGGAATGGGGATGGGAATGGGGATGGGAATGGGGATGGGAATGGGGATGGGAATGGGGATGGGAATGGGGATGGGAACGGGGATGGGAATGGGGATGTGAATGGGGATGTGAATGGGGATGTGAATGGGGATGTGAATGGGGATGAGAATGGGGATGAGAATGGGGATGGGAATGGGGATGGGAATGGGGATGGGAATGGGGATGGGAATGGGAATGGGGATGGGAATGGGGATGGGAATGGGGATGGGAACGGGGATGTGAATGGGGATGGGAATGGGGATGGGAATGGGGATGTGAATTGGGATGAGAATGGGGATGGGAATGGGGATGGGAACAGGGATGTGAATGGGGATGGGAATGGGGATGGGAATGGGGATGTGAATGGGGATGTGAATGGGGATGGGAATGGGGATGTGAACGGGGATGGGAACGGGGATGGGAATGGGGATGGGAATGGGGATGGGAATGGGGATGGGAATGGGGATGGGAATGGGGATGGGAATGGGGATGGGAACGGGGATGGGAATGGGGATGGGAATGGGGATGGGAATGGGGATGGGAATGGGGATGGGAATGGGGATGTGAATGGGGATGCGAATGGGGATGTGAATGGGGATGGGAATGGGGATGGGAATGGGGATGGGAATGGGGATGGGAATGGGGATGGGAATGGGGATGTGAATGGGGATGTGAATGGGGATGTGAATGGGGATGTGAATGGGGATGAGAATGGGGATGAGAATGGGGATGGGAATGGGGATGGGAATGGGGATGGGAATGGGGATGGGAATGGGGATGGGGATGGGAATGGGGATGGGAATGGGGATGTGAATGGGGATGTGAATGGGGATGAGAATGGGGATGTGAATGGAGATGTGAAAGGGGATGTGAATGGGGATGTGAATGGGGATGAGAATGGGGATGAGAATGGGGATGAGAATGGGGATGGGAATGGGGATGGGAATGGGGATGGGAATGGGGATGGGAATGGGGATGGGAATGGGGATGGGAATGGGGATGAGAATGCGGATGGGAATGGGGATGGGAATGGGGATGGGAATGGGGATGGGAATGGGGATGGGAATGGGGATGAGAATGGGGATGGGAATGGGGATGAGAATGGGGATGAGAATGGGGATGGGAATGGGGATGGGAATGGGGATGGGAATGGGAATGGGGATGGGAATGGGGATGGGAATGGGAATAGGAATGGGGATGGGAATGGGATGGAATGGGGATGGGAATGGGGATGGGAATGGGGATGGGAATGGGGATGGGAATGGGGATGGGAATGGGGATGGAAATGGGGATGGGAATGGGGATGGGAATGGGGATGGGAATGGGGATGGGAATGGGGATGAGAATGGGGATGGGAATGGGGATGGGAATGGGGATGAGAATGGGGATGGGAATGGGGATGGGAATGGGGATGGGAATGGGGATGGGAATGGGGATGGGAATGGGGATGGGAATGGGGATGGGAATGGGGATGGGAATGGGGATGGGAATGGGGATGGGAATGGGGATGGGAATGGGGATGGGAATGGGGATGGGAATGGGGATGGGAATGGGGATGGGAATGGGGATGAGAATAGGGATGGGAATGGGGATGGGAATGGGGATGGGAATGGGGATGGAAATGGGGATGGGAATGGGGATGGGAATGGGGATGGGAATGGGGATGGGAATGGGGATGAGAATGGGGATGGGAATGGGGATGGGAATGGGGATGGAAATGGGGATGGGAATGGGGATGGGTATGGGGATGGGAATGGGGATGGGAATGGGGATGAGAATGGGGATGAGAATGGGGATGAGAATGGGGATGGGAATGGGGATGGAAATGGGGATGTGAATGGGGATGGGAATGGGGATGGGAATGGGGATGGGAATGGGGATGGGAATGGGGATGGGAATGGGGATGAGAATGGGGATGGGAATGGGGATGGGAATGGGGATGGGAATGGGAATGGGGATGGGAATGGGGATGGGAATGGGGATGGGAATGGGGATGGGAATGGGGATGAGAATGGGGATGGGAATGGGGATGGGAATGGGGATGAGAATGGGGATGAGAATGGGGATGGGAATGGGGATGGGAATGGGGATGGAAATGGGGATGGGAATGGGGATGGGAATGGGGATGGGAATGGGGATGGGAATGGGGATGAGAATGGGGATGAGAATGGGGATGGGAATGGGGATGAGAATGGGGATGAGAATGGGGATGGGAATGGGGATGGGAATGGGGATGGGAATGGGGATGGGAATGGGGATGGGAATGGGGATGGGAATGGGGATGGGAATGGGGATGGGAATGGGGATGAGAATGGGGATGAGAATGGGGATGGGAATGGGGATGGAAATGGGGATGTGAATGGGGATGGGAATGGGGATGGGAATGGGAATGGGGATGGGAATGGAGATGGGAATGGGGATGAGAACGGGGATGAGAATGGGGATGGGAATGGGGATGTGAATGGGGATGGGAATGGGGATGGGAATGGGAATGGGGATGGGAATGGGGATGGGAATGGGGATGGGAATGGGGATGGGAATGGGGATGGAAATGGGGATGGGAATGGGGATGGGAATGGGGATGGGAATGGGGATGGGAATGGGGATGGGAATGGGGATGGGAATGGGGATGGGAATGGGGATGAGAATGGGGATGGGAATGGGGATGGGAATGGGGATGAGAATGGGATGGGAATGGGGATGGGAATGGGGATGGGAATGGGGATGGGAATGGGGATGGGAATGGGGATGGGAATGGGGATGGGAATGGGGATGGGAATGGGGATGGGAATGGGGATGGGAATGGGGATGGGAATGGGGATGGGAATGGGGATGGGAATGGGGATGGGAATAGGGATGGGAATGGGGATGGGAATGGGGATGGGAATGGGGATGGGAATGGGGATGGGAATGGGGATGGGAATGGGGATGGGAATGGGGATGGGAATGGGGATGAGAATGGGGATGGGAATGGGGATGGGAATGGGGATGGAAATGGGGATGGGAATGGGGATGGGAATGGGGATGGGAATGGGGATGGGAATGGGGATGAGAATGGGGATGAGAATGGGGATGGGAATGGGGATGGGAATGGGGATGGAAATGGGGATGGGAATGGGGATGGGAATGGGGATGGGAATGGGGATGGGAATGGGGATGGGAATGGGGATGAGAATGGGGATGGTAATGGGGATGGGAATGGGGATGGGAATGGGAATGGGGATGGGAATGGGGATGGGAATGGGGATGGGAATGGGGATGGGAATGGGGATGAGAATGGGGATGGGAATGGGGATGGGAATGGGGATGAGAATGGGGATGAGAATGGGGATGGGAATGGGGATGGGAATGGGGATGGGAATGGGGATGGGAATGGGGATGGGAATGGGGATGGGAATGGGGATGGGAATGGGGATGAGAATGGGGATGAGAATGGGGATGGGAATGGGGATGAGAATGGGGATGAGAATGGGGATGGGAATGGGGATGGGAATGGGGATGGGAATGGGAATGGGGATGGGAATGGGGATGGGAATGGGGATGGGAATGGGAATGGGGATGGGAATGGGAATGGGGATGGGAATGGGGATGGGAATGGGGATGGGAATGGGGATGGGAATGGGGATGGGAATGGGGATGGGAATGGGGATGGGAATGGGGATGGGAATGGGGATGAGAATGGGGATGAGAATGGGGATGGGAATGGGGATGGAAATGGGGATGTGAATGGGGATGGGAATGGGGATGGGAATGGGAATGGGGATGGGAATGGGGATGGGAATGGGGATGAGAACGGGGATGAGAATGGGGATGGGAATGGGGATGTGAATGGGGATGGGAATGGGGATGGGAATGGGAATGGGGATGGGAATGGGGATGGGAATGGGGATGGGAATGGGGATGGGAATGGGGATGGGAATGGGGATGGGAATGGGGATGGGAATGGGAATGGGGATGGGAATGGGGATGGGAATGGGGATGGGAATGGGGATGGGAATGGGGATGGGAATGGGGATGGGAATGGGGATGGGAATGGGGATGGAAATGGGGATGGGGATGGGAATGGGAATGGGGATGGGAATGGGGATGGGAATGGGGATGGGAATGGGGATGGGAATGGGGATGTGAATGGGGATGTGAATGGGGATGGGAATTGGAATGGGGATGGGAATGGGAATGGGGATGGGAATGGGGATGGGAATGGGGATGGGAATGGGGATGGGAGTGGGGATGGGAATGGGGATGGGAATGGGGATGGGAATGGGGATGGGAATGGGGATGAGAATGGGGATGAGAATGGGGATGGGAATGGGGATGGAAATGGGGATGTGAATGGGGATGGGAATGGGGATGGGAATGGGAATGGGGATGGGAATGGGGATGGGAATGGGGATGAGAACGGGGATGAGAATGGGGATGGGAATGGGGATGTGAATGGGGATGGGAATGGGGATGGGAATGGGAATGGGGATGGGAATGGGGATGGGAATGGGGATGGGAATGGGGATGGGAATGGGGATGGGAATGGGGATGGGAATGGGGATGGGAATGGGAATGGGGATGGGAATGGGGATGGGAATGGGGATGGGAATGGGGATGGGAATGGGGATGGGAATGGGGATGGGAATGGGGATGGGAATGGGGATGGAAATGGGGATGGGGATGGGAATGGGAATGGGGATGGGAATGGGGATGGGAATGGGGATGGGAATGGGGATGGGAATGGGGATGTGAATGGGGATGGGAATGGGGATGGGAATGGGAATGGGGATGGGAATGGGGATGGGAATGGGGATGGGAATGGGGATGGGAATGGGGATGGGATCCGGAAGAATATTGTGTCAGAGAAAAATCACAAAGATGGTTGAGCTTGAGAATGCAGTTCGTTCCTTTGAACTCACAATATCCGTTCCTCTACATTAGGTCGTACCTCTACGTTGTGGACGTGCTTGTCTCTTCGTGCTGAGGCAAGGATAAGAAAATTTATGCGCCTTTGATCATCATCCACCCTTCAAACCCCACTCCCACCCACCCCCACCTCCCCCCCCCTCCCACACGCCCTCACCCCTCACCTTGTGCGGTGCAATCAATCCACTCCCCACTCTCCCCCCAGCCACGCCGATCAAGTCGACTCAATCAAAAGTAAACTCCCCAGCCTCCCCAGCCACGCTGCTTGAGGAGCCTCCAACCAAAATCCTCCGACCACCCAATCCCCGCACCTCACCAGCGTGCAATCAATCCACTCCCCGGCCTGCCATGCCACCTGCTCCTCATTCAATTGCTTCGGGTCACCAACCCCCACTGGTCGTCACCCTCCCCTCCCACCTGCCTTCGCCTTCCCTCTCGCACAAACCATAACTTTTCCCCCTACCCTTTCCCCACTCGACTCCCCCCTCCCCTTCCCTGCCACGCGCCCTCACCTCCCTTTCACCCACCCTCCCCTTCCCCCACCATCCCCGTCCGCACTCCTCACCAGTGCACAGTCAATCCACTCCTTGGCCTGCTTTCCCAGCCACGCCACCTGCTCCTCATTCAGCTTCTTAGGGTCACCGTCCCCCCACTTGCCGTCCCACACGAATCCGTCCTTCACGCGGATGTGTATGCCCACCGTCGCCACCCCCCGCGCCTGCCCCCCCTCCCCCACCATGGCTGCGCGCAGCTGCTGTTCCATGCCCCGCACCAGCGCCTGCACCTCTGGCCGCGGACTGGGGAAGGGGAGGGAAGGAGGGGAAAGGGAGAGAACGGGGGGAAAGGGAGGGGGGAAGGTGTGTGGGAGGGTTAGGAGGCAGGGTGCTTGAGAATAGGAAAGCAAAGGAAGGGGTGGGTGGATGGGGGCTCTGAATAGGGGAGACTGCTGGGCGGGGGGTAGGGGGACCAGTGATTTTCACACGGATGTGTATGCCCACCGTCCTCACCCCCCGCGCCTGCCCCACCTCCCCCTCCCCCACCATCGCTGCGCGCAGCTGCTGCTCCATGCCCCGCACCAGCGCCTGCACCTCTGGCCGCGGCCTGGGGGAAAGCGGGGGAGGGGTGGGGAGAAGAAGGGGGAAAGGGGGAGAGGAGGACAGAGGGCTTTTCAAAAGTCTCACATGCCTTCCGGCAACGCTTTCACCCGCTTTTGAGTCGACTCAAAAGAACTCTCACATGCATTGCAGCAACGCACGCACCCCTGGGCAAGGACTGGCGGAAGAGGGGGAGAGGGGGGATTGGGGAAGGGGTAGATGGTAGGAGTTTGAGGAAAGGGAAGGAGAGAACGGGTGGGTTTGGAGGGAGGAGGTGAGAGAGAAAGGGAGTGGGAGAAGAGAAATTGTGGGTGGGAAGAAAAGAGGGATTTTGGGGGCAAAGGGAGGGGTAAGGGGGGTGGGGTGTGGTCTCATGCCCCCATATTGGAGTGACTTTTGAGAATTCTCAACAGTGATCTCAAAAGAGAATTCTCAACAGTGATCTCAAAAGAGAATTCTCAACAGTGATCTCAAAAGAGAATTCTCAACAGTGATCTCAAAAGAGAATTCTCAACAGTGATCTCAAAAGAGAATTCTCAACAGTGATCTCAAAAGAGAATTCTCAAAAGTCACTCCAATATAGCTGTGGTGTGGTCTCATGCCCCCATCTCCACACACATCACCTCCCTGTCTCCCCTCGACTCCAATTCCTCTAATACCTATCGCGTCCCCCGTTCCTTCTCCCCCCCTCATCCCCCCATCGCTCACGTAAGCAAGAATTGCAAAAAGCACCCTACCCCACAGCATACACCAGCATGCATCCATGACCAGCCCCCCCCTCTCTCTCTCCTTCTCCCCCCCTCTCTCCTTCTCCCCCCCTCTCTCCTTCTCCCCCCTCCTCTCCTCCTCCCCATTTCTTCCGCCCCATGGCGCTCACGTGAACAGGAAGCACCCCATTCCCATTAAAGAGCGCCGGCAGTGTGCACTGCATCACCCCTCCCCATTCCCCCCCTCCCCATTTCCCCACGCCCCGTTCCCCCCGCCACAGCCCCCCGGCTCACGTGAACAGGAAGCGCAGGAAGCACCCCACAGCGTACGGCAGGCGCATGCCGATCTGACTGAACCGCTGCGCCCACGACCCCGCGGCGCGCGTCTGCAGGTACGTCAGCACGCCGCGATTCGACGCCAGCCTCACATTAACCGACGCGTTCAGCTTCGAAAAATACGGCTCCAACTCCACGTACTTATTCCGTAACTCCACAAACACCACCTCGCCGGGCGTCGCGGGCTCGGGCCGCCCCATCCACGACTGCGGGCCGTTAATAAATCGCGACGGCTCTAGCGGAACGTCCGGGGAGATCACCCAGTCGATTAGGTTCGGCTGGAACGCCGCGGGCAGACACGCGTGGCGGATGATTAACGCGCGGTTGTCTAGGACGGCGACTACGAACGCGGCTATGAGGCCGACTAGTACGTCGCCGTACCCGCCGCACCCGTTCAGCCACTCGAAGGTTAGAAACCGGATCGACGGGTCGTACGGCGGCGGCGCAGCTTCCGACGGCGGCGCTGCGGCGGCAGCAGCGGCGGCAGCGGCTTCGGCGCCGTCGGGCGCGGAAGGAGCCGCGGCGGGGGGGGGGGCAGAAGCAGCAGAAGCAGCGGCAGCGGCAGCGGCGGCGGCGGCAGCGGCGGCGGCGTCGCTCTGGAGTCGAGCCGCGTATGCGTCCTTACTGGCTTGGCGGATGCGCTCGTGCAGCGCCATGTACTGGCCGGGCCACGAGCCGCACATCTTGTCCGAGTCGCCAAAGTCGAAGTCGAGGAAGGGCGGCGCGTACTCGTTCATCTGATGCGCCTGTCCCCGGGGATTGAGGGGATTGAGGGGAGTTGGTAACATCGGAAAGGTTGGAAACGCTGAAGCCAGCCAGCAGCATGTAGAAGTCCTAAGACAAATATTACGGAAATACACCGTGTATTGCTCTAAAGCGCCTCACAAAGAGACACGTCGGTGTGTTCGAAACAGCTCAAAAGCTGGGGCATCAGAAAGACAGAATCTTGAAGCTTACAGAGGTGCATCGAGCGGCAAGGAACACAAACGCCAAGATGGGCAAGGACGCGATGGCTGCCGCAGCTCCAGCGGCCGGCACGAGGTAGCGGCGCCGCCGCCGCAGGCCGAACGGCGAGCGCAGGTCACGCAGCGCCCCCATGCGTGCCTATCCGGCAGTCGGTGCCAGTGGTAGCGGACGGGTTGAGTACCAGCCGTGACTCCAATGGTCGTCAGACGTCGACTGAGACGCGGCACGCTTTACAGAGAAGTGAGATCGATGCACCAGCCTGAACACTATCGTTGGCGCGCCTTACCACTGCACGGAATTAATATATTTCAGAAGTGGAATAGAAGGAACACCGTAGGTAATAACTGGCACTAGTGGGTGGTAGTAGCATTGTTTGGGGGAGGTGCTGAAACTGCATTTGACTGGGGGGGGGGGGGAACCACCTACACCATAACTGCATTTGCCTCGGTTGAAATGGTTTAAAGTAGTTTCGGTAGGACTGACTTGGGTTGGGCTGGATTTGAGGTGGCAACTGGGAGTGTGGAGTTGAGGGAGGGTCAGGTCAGCCCAGGTCAACTCGGCAAAGAGATCCAAATTTGCCAGCCAGCAGTTGGCCGGACGTTACAACAAGATTTTTCTTGTATACGCGGTACACCTGATGTTCGTTAGAGCCCCTCCCGGTTGCCTTGTGAACTGGGTCTGTAAGCTAAACCTGCATTTCGCGGGGCATTCGTGAATTTCGTCAGGCGTCCAGCGTGCTTCAAAACTGCACATGGTAACCACCCAGTTTGTCTGTGTCGCAACAGTAAGGGGTTGCAGCACTTGTCCCTGTTGTGTGTTTAGGGTTACTAAACGAACGCCACAGTACCGAAACAAGCATGCACAACAATTGTTCTTCGTAGTACAAAACAGTCCAAACACAAACACCTTCCAATCAACATCCTCCACCTGGCCCATCATCTCCATTCAACACACAAAACAAAACACGCACAAATGGGCACAAGGAGTAAACACTTGGGCTCTCAGCAAAATGCCTTCGACACCTTGCGAAGTCTGCTCCACCCCCCCCTCACAGACGCATCCACTCAGCCGCGTCCACATATCCGTCCATCACGGCGCCCACACCGGCGTCAAACAACTCCTGACGGCGAGACGGACGGGTCATCCAGCCGGGCAGCACCCGGCCGCGCGGACGAGGGGTTTCGGGCGTGGGAGTTGCGCCCGGGGAGGGTACGGGCTGAGGCGCCACGTTGAGGTTGAATGACGGGCTCGCCCGCTCCATCCGCGCGATTACAATGTGGTTGCGGATATCGAACAGATGGGACAGATCGCGCGGCGTGATGCGGATGGCCCGTGCATATCCGATGAGCATCTCGCATGCCGCGCGTGCAGTGCGCCGCGCTTCGCAACACACTAGGTCGGCGTCGTCGTAGACGGCTTGCATGGTCGTCGGCGCGTGCCAGAGCTCCACCTCTAGGCCCGCCTCCGGCTCAGTCGTGGGCTGTCCCGCAGCGCCCTCGGCGCACGTTGGCTCGTCGTCGTCGATGACGACGTACTCTGCGGCCGTCATCGCCGCATTCCCGAGGGCGAGCCCGCTAATAAGCGTCCCGACATCGTCGATGTCGTCGTCGAGCTCGATGTCGGGGTAGACGGCGGGGGAGGGCTCATCGTCGTGTACCTGCGTAAGCTCCAGGGACCACGAGAGCGGCAGACACCCCGTGCGCCACCAGCACCGTTGAATGGTGCACGCGCCGACCGAGGTCCACGCGTCCGACAGCCACGCGAGGACATCGCGCAAGTTCGGGCGGAAACGCGCGACGGCGGAAGTCGCGCCGTCGCCGTTCCACAAAGCCGAGAAGGCCCGCAGCCAATGCTGTCGGTAGCGGGCCTTTACGGTGGCTATGATGCCTTGATCGAGCGGCTGTGTAAATGCGGTGGTATTCGGCGGCAGGAAGACGAGCCGCACGTTGCTCATGCAGGTCGTCCGCATGCCGCAGACGATCTCGCTCCATGCGAGCTCAGAGCGGAGCATGTGGCTGCTCGCGTTGTCGAGCAGCAACACGATCTTGCGACCTTCGGCGTACATCGCAGCATTGAGCTGCGATATGAAATGTGTGAATAAGTGCAGGGACGGGAAGGGAGGGGAAGGCGGAACGTACAGTGGAACATTGTAAGCACAAACACATTCCACACAGATTTGAAGTTACGCGTAATTTGTCCGCAGCAACAAGAACGGACGACACAAAAAAACACGACGAGCTTACTGACGAGGTCATCCAGCCTTTCGCGTTGTGCCGCCAGTAGCAAAGGGATTCAGGGTCATAATCCGGGCGGAAGTCATGCGGCCGCTTCGCCTTACTGATCACGAGCGGTCGGAATATGTGGCTCCCGTCAGCATTCACGAGGAATGCCACGGTGAGCCGCTCCTTCGATACTTTGCGGCCGGGAATGCGGCCGTTGCTGTAAGTGCGCCGAGGGAGGACTGACAGCCAGAGCGCCGTCTCATCGAGGTTGAAAGTGTCCCGCGGGGTGACACCGAGATGCGTGAGGAGTTGCGGCAGCTTCTCACGTGCGTGGCGCACGGCGGCCATGTCCGCGCTAGCCGCCTCGCCTTGTGCTGCACGGCACCTCACTCCCTGGCGCCTCAAAGCACGGCGCACCCAGCCGATGGAGCAGCGGAATGAGGGCGGAATGCCCATGTTTCGGGACATCGTCACGACATGGTCGCGGATGGTCTGCAGCGTCAGAGGCACGCCAGCGGGCCCTGCGTTTGCGATCCACCGCGCCATGGCCTGCTCCAGCTCAGGCCATGCGCCACCTCGACGGCGCACTTGGTTGTCCCCGGTTGCCGTGACAGCCCATCGCTCGGCGAGCTTCAATATGCGGCCGACAGTGGAGCGATCCGGGCGCAATCCGTACTGAGTGTAGCACCACCTCGCCAGGTCAACATGACGCAGGCGGGGGTTGTCGACGTGGTGCGCGCAAATAGCGCGCTTGATATGGAGCGGGAGCTGCTCCTGTCGATTAAAGCGGGGCATTGTGAGCGGCTGGGGTGTGAGAGAATGCTGACTTTGTGAATTAGTTGTTCGATTTTTATCGTCATAGGTCGGGCGTGCTGGGCAAAGCTGGGGCATGTTCTTTGTTGCATGTCACATTTTTGTGGCTGGTGTTCGTTCCATGCACATGGCTTGCATTTTTTATCGTGTGGTTTGGTAACCACACCCTCGAATGTCTGACGTGGGGTGGGCGAAGCACGCCTGGCTGGTAATGCGCTTGTACCTTGCAAGTCCCGAAATACACGTGGCAGCTTGTATCTGACCAAATGCCTGTTACACGGGTTGGGCTGAGTGCCCTTTAGGATCTTTGGTAGAGTTAAAGTCTGAGTAAAGTGATGTAGTAGCGGAAGCGTTTTAAGTAAGGTACTTGAACCACCTTGCGCTAGTATGTGAGGGCTAAGTAACTTGATTAAAGCAAAGAGATACAAGAATATATATATGAATACAGAGAATATGAAGAGACATTATAACTACTTTACTGTTGCGGTTCGATACAATGCGACTCGGGCAACTGCTCAATGTCGAGTCAGTTGTGTGTCCTTGCTGTTGCCCTGCATTTGTCAGGTCAAAGGTCGCTGACCTTTGACTTTCGCGTAACCTCCAGCGGTTACATCAACCTCCGAGGGTTGACTCGCTGGTGCCTCGATATGCGCTGCTTCGCTTGTGTCTTGGTGTTTCGACACGACAAAGGCGCTTAAGATTGTTTGTTCCCAACACTCCCCTTCGCTTCTGGAGAGTCGCTGATGGTGATGTGGCTTTGTCCAGTCAGCTGCATGCAGTACTCGAACTTCTGTTTTCCGAGCTTCTTGGACGTGGGACAGTAGGATAGTTCAAGTTTCCCCTTCTCGATCTCGTCTTTCACGAAGAAATATCGCAGAGCGTTATACTTCGTTCTGTTCGCGAATCCACTTTTGTTGGTGATGCGAATCGCAGATTGGTTGTCGCATAACAGAGTGAAGTTGGGTAACTCGGCTAACTTCGCTTCTTCCAGCAGCTCGCGAAGACAGAGTCCTTCCTTGGTGGCTGAGCAGAGTGCAATATATTCTGCTTCAGCTGACGAGAGAGCGATTAGTTCTTGCTTGCTCGATTGCCAGGAGATCGGTCCGATAGGTTCGAGGCGGTAGATGTAGCCAGTGCGGGAGCGCCTATTGTCTGGGTCGCCAGCGTGATCGGCGTCGACGTAGCCGATTAATTTCGTCGGTGTAGTTGTGTTCTTGTAGTAGGTCAGACCGATCGTAGAGGTACTGACGAAGTAGTGGAGAGCGCGGTCGAGCTCCGCCAAGTGTTCTGCTTCAGGTCTTTTGAGGTAGGTGGCGAGTTGGCTTGCGGAGTAGGATAGATCTGGGCGGCAGGTGACGGCTGCAAAGAGAAGGCAGCCCAGCTTTCTCTGGTAGTCGCGTATCCCCGCGGATTTGAGTAGAGAGGATCCTTCATTGTGGTTTCCTGTCGTGTAGCGGTAGGGCGTAGAGATGGTGGTAGGTGTGAGCGCGAAGCGTTTGGCGATGGTGTCGGCGTACTTAGCGGCGCTGAGGTGGATCGCGCCTTCTTCTTCCCGAATGTTCAAGCCGAGATACTGTGTGACGCTAGAGGAGACCGTGAGTGTGAGGTCCTTCTGTAGCTCCCCTTCGAATTAGGTGGTGATGTCGTCAGTAGAGCTGATGTAGAGTAAGTCGTCTACGTAGACGATCAACAGAATGTAGTCGGTGTCTTTGGTGAGTCGGTACATCCCTTGGTCGTGAGGCAGTTGACGAAATCCGATGCAAGTGAGGCGAGCGTGTAGGTACTGTTGCCATAGCCGCGGAGCTTGCTTGATCCCGTAGAGTGATTTCAGCAGTTGACAGACTTGGTTCGGTTCCCCGTGGGTACCATGTGGGAGCTCGACGAAGATTTCCGCGTCGACAGGTGCGTAGAGGAACGCGTTGGCGACATCGATTTGTCGTAGCTTCTTCTTCTTCATAGCGACGATCGCGAGGAGAATTCGAAGTGAGGTATGTCGGCTGACCGGGCGAATGTCTCGGTGAAGTCCCGTCCGTGCTCCTGATCGAATCCATGCACAACCTGTCAAACATTGTATGTTGTGGTTGTTTAGGCTACAGTGGGTTAGCCTATAGTGGGTACACATTTCTAGGGTTAGGTTTGACCTATTTGTACCCAACTCTCATTCTAGTGATCCATTCTCATTCTGACATGGTATTACAAGCCTAGGTTTCACCTAGGACCGAGACGATAGGGCCCACCGTTTCCGCTAGCCGCGCCCTCGTGCGCCGCCTTTTCCTGCGCCTCAAGCGCCTTGTTCCTAAGGCCCCCTAAGGCCCTCTCGCGTCGCCCCTTAAGGCCCCTCACGGCCCCTCGCGTCGCCCTCTTAAGGCCCCTTACGGCCCCGCGCTAGCCTCTCAAGGCCCCGTGCGGCCCCGCGCTAGCCCCCTAAGGACCCGTCGGCCCCGCGCTAGCCCCGTAAGGCCCCCGTCGGCCCCGCGCTAGCCTCTGAAGGCCCCCGAACGGCCCCGCGCTAGCCCCGAATGGCCCCGTACGGCCCCCCGCGCTAGCCTCTCACGGCCCCCTCGGCCCCGCGCTAGCCCTCTAAGGCCACCGTCGGCCCCGCGCTAGCCTCTCACGGCCCCCCCCTCGGCCCCGCGCTAGCCCTCTAAGGCCCCCGTCGGCCCCGCGCTAGCCTCTCACGGCCCCCGAACGGCCCCGCGCTAGCCCCGAACGGCCCCCAACCGGCCTCGCCCTCGCCCTGGACGGCCCCGTGCTCTCCCTTAACAGCCCCACCCGGCCCCGCGCTCGCCTCTCTAGGACCGAGCCGAACCGCGCGACCCGACCGAGCCGCGCGACCCGACCGAGCCGCGCCGCCCTAGCCGAGCCGCGCCGCCCTAGCCGAGCCGCGCCGCCCTAGCCGAGCCGCGCCGCCCTACTGCTACTACCACTGCTGCTACTGCTACTCCTGCTACTACTACTACTGCCACTGCTACTGCTTCAACTATGGCTAGCCCTACAGTTCTCTCGTTCGATACTGAGGGCCGCCCGATTAAGTTTGAGACCTGGCTCGATGATTTGCACCTGTTCCTCCAGCTCACTGCCCGAGAGGATATCTCGCTGTACGATCACGCACTAGGCACAGTCCCTGCTCCTGCTACTACTGCTACCGCTACTGCTCGCTCGCAGTGGCAGACTCGCGATGCCCACGCCCGCTTTGCCATTCGCAACTCCCTGCCAGTCGATGAGCGCGAGCACTTTGGCCAGCATCAGACTGCGCAGGCCCTCTACACTGCTGTAGTTGCGCGCTACTCCTCCCCGGCCTCAGCTGCACTAGGCCGCCTCTCGCTTCCCTACCTGTTCCCCGACCTGTCCGCCTTCCAGACAGTCGCTGACCTCATCACTCACCTCCGCACTAGTGATGCCCGCTTCCGTGCAGCCATGCCCGCTGAGTTTCTTGCCTCCAACCCTCCCCCGCTCTGGCTCACTCTCTACCACCTAGTTACCCGCCTCCCTGACACTCTGCGTACAGTCAGGGACCACTTCCTAGCTCGCTGCCCCACTGAGCTCACCATTGCCGCCCTAGAGAAGGAACTACTTGCAGCTGAGAAGAGTATTGTAGCTGTAGGTGCCTCTCGTGGCGACCCCCGCACCCCTTTCTTCGAGGGGTGTTCCCCCTCCCCCCTGCTCCCCTCTGTCGCCTCTGCTGCTGCTGTCGACCTCCTTGGTGCTGAGCAGGTCGGCTCTGCGTCCGCTCCCAGCGGGCGCCGCAGCGGCAAGGGCAAGGGAGGCAAGGGCGGTGGGGGTGACGGCGGGGGAGGCGGTGGTGGGGGTGGTGGCGGCGGTGGGGGCGGTGGCGGGGCTGGAGGGGCTAGTGGCAGCGGTGGGGGTGGTGGAGGCAGCGACGACGGCGGTGGTCGGGGTGGGGGCGGTGGTGGTGGCGGCAGTGGACGTGGCGGCGGCAGGGGCGGTGGTGGTCGTGGTGGAGGCGGTGGTGGTGGTCGTGGAGGCTCTCGCCCTGGCCAGAGCGCGCAGCACCCTCAGTCCTCCCAGGAGCTTCGTGAGTGGTACTTACAGCATGGGGGTGGGGGGGGTAGCCTTAGCTGCACGTACGTCATCCGCACTGGTCGCCGCAAGGGACAGACGTGCGGGAGGGCGCACACTGCTCAGCGCTGCTTCTCTCGCCTAGATGACGCTTGGCGTGCTCAGTTTCCTGACGCTCCTGAGCTCCCTCAGTGGGCTGATCTCCTCAAGAAGGATATCGATATCTATGCTCTTGATTTTGATGTTATTCTCAAAGCCATGTATGCATTGACTATTAGTGGAGAGGAGGACCAGTACCTGTGTGTTCCGCCTGACCCATGCATCCGCACGAGTGAGGCTGCCGCTCTAGGTGCTTGCGCGTCCGCTGCCCCAGGTGCTGGTGAGGCTACTGCTCTAGGTGCTTGTGTGTCTGCCACCCCAGGTACTACTGAGTCCACTGATGCACTGCACACCTTCACTCTAGACTCAGGCGCTTCGCGCTGTTTCTTTCGTGACCGCACTGCCCTTGAGCCCCTTGCTCGACCAGTCGCTGTCTCACTCGCTGACCCCTCTGGGGGTCCGGTCATTGCGACCTCCTCCACCCTCCTTCCTTGTCCTGCTGTCCCGTCGGGCACATTGTCAGGTCTCCACCTCCCCTCGTTCTCTACGAACTTGGTGGCGGGCTGTGCGCTTCAGGATGGGGGTGTTCACCAGTTCACCCCTGCCTACGAGCCCGTGACACACTGCACGTGTGCTCGGACGGGCCGTCACCTGGCTACCTTCACTCGACAGCCGGGGTCGGACCTGTACACACTGACCACTGAGTCCCCTCAGGTAGCGGCGTCTGCGTCTGCGTCTGCGTCAGGTCAGCTCTCTGCCCCCTGCTCGTGTCGCTCTCTAGCGCACAAGACTTTCCTCTGGCACCACCGACTTGGTCACCCGTCAGTGCAGCGCCTTCGAGGCATGCACGCCCGGTACCTTGT